TGCTGGGTAGTATACCCACTACTCTCTGTCGGTCCTTTGATCTTTTCGGTTTCGATCACGTGGCATTCCGCCCATGGTTTTCGTATAAAATCCTGTTACACTGTCATACTGATTTCACACTACCACGTAGACTACGTTTCCACCGAGGGTCAGAGTCGGGCTAGAGTCGGGTCAGAATCGGGTTGGAGAGCACTTCGGTGGAAACACCAAATTCAAACCTGTACCCTACCTTATAAAATTTTAAGGTAAACCAGAATCGAGGTAAATCACAGAGCTAATAATTACTACTTAACATGTTGGCAACACCACAGGAACCTAACAAGACTCTTGTCGTTTCCACCGAATCTCATTAACCTTAAAATTTTATAAGGTTAGGGTTCAGGTTCGAGTTTGGTGTTTCCACCGCAAGAGCGCTCACCCCAACCCGATTCTGACCCGACTCTAACCCGACTCTGACCCTCGGTGGAAATGTAGTCATATACAACATCCGTCTCATTGGCTCCACCAAAATAATGGCGGAATACCACGTGATCGAAACCGAAAAGATCAAAGGGCCGACAGAGAGCGGGCATACTGGTTACACTATGGTCTTCCTCTGATCGTCACTAAATATTCGAGGAGGAGCGGTTGATACAAAAAGGGATTAAAAGCGCGTTTCTCATATACCGTCGCGTTTCAGAAGAGTAAGCACATCCATCGCGCGACTCGCGGCGGGAACAGGACGGGCGACAAATCGGCGGCGGGCGGTCACGGAGGAAAAAAGGAGGATTCCTATAGGAATGAAAGGCGTACGACGTTAGATCGATCGGGGGGTAGGGGCGCGTTTCCGATGGGAATAGCCAGCGGGTTATATACGGAGACGCGAAACGTTCAACATCCCATCGTGCGGCGGGTACGAAAGCCCAGTACAAACAGAAGCGCGTCTTGCGGTCATTCTTTGTCGTAATTACCAAGAAGATAAGAGAACGAGGGGCGGTTGAAGGTAGCGGAGGGTAGAAACGCGGGAGGGGGGGGGAAGTCGGAGGGGGAATCAGAAGGGAGTCAGTCATGGCGGAAGGTAGCGGAGCTTATAAGTGGCACGAGTGGGAAGCGCTCTTTCCCGAGAATAATGCGCGCGGACCCCGGGGAGTTGGCTTTCAGGAAAATGCTGATTGCTTCCCCGGCTCTCGCGCTCTCCTTTTCCCTTCGTACCAATTCTCCATCCGCCTATCCCTCTCCACCTCCCCTCCCGTGTCCCCCCGCCCCTGCCTCACCCTTTTCCGCCCCCTCCCTGCCGCGCTATCAATCTTCGACTTCGTCAGTAGAGATGTATAACCCGACCTTTGCGTATGCATGCGTGCATGCATGCGTGCGTGTAGATCCTCCGCTAGCTTCTTCCTCACCTCGGCCCTTAAGCGACCCTTATCTCGCGGTACCAACCACGTCTCGCGAGGGTCTCCGCAGAAATCGGACGCGGGCACCCGCTCATCGGTCTTATTCGATAATTCTTTCCACTTTGCGCGAGGAAAAGGGAGATACGATTATCCGCGAGCGAGAGAACGAATTCTCTCGTTTGAATCATACTTGAGTGAAATCAGGGCCGGAGAGACTCCAGTATCCGACAGAGATCATAATGCATCAGAATTGCGTTTCGATTCGCTCTACAGTGAAATTCTTGCGCGACGCTCCTTAATAAAAATAGGGTAAAGTACCGTGAACGCGCGCGGGACAGCGTTGAAAGTCGCAATAGCCTTTGATGCCTGCCTTTTCAGAGGGCGAGCGTGAAAATTAGGTGGACTAAAAGCGTGGGGTAACCGAGTTATTACGAATAAAAGAGAAGCGGGCATCACGCGCGCGCGCGGAGCGTGGAACGGGGAGGTACTATTAAAAGCCTGTAATTAATGCGGTTAATTGTATTGCGCTAAACGAACGTCGAGTCGATAGTGAGTTTCAACGAGACGAAACGGAAGCTTTCTAGAAAACTTGGACAATTAAGACCGTTGCACTTGATACAATCGCACGAATGTCACACGTTATAGGAAGAAAAAGTTGACGCTACAAAGAAATTCACTCGCAAACGACCAAAACAAAGATCTTTAAAGGAACTTGCATATTATCTGCAACGTTTAAATATTTCATTCGTTTGAAAAGCAAGTAAAACTGTTATTTCTCATATCGTTATCTCTCTCTCCCTCGCCTAAAGCCTTTTTATGAAATCCATCTGCTTCATAACGCCATTGACTTTAGCGCTCAATTGAGCTTCTCTAAACGGAAAGTAATCGTCCAGAAGTATTAGATACACGGCTTATTTTTTACGCTAAATCTTCATTTATCTTTCAGATTAACGTCGCATATGTATATCCTCATGAGTACTTAACTTGATACAAATCTGGCACAAGCTAGGATTACTCGGCGAAATTGGATTTGTCTGCATCATCTTTTCCTCTTACTAACGTAGAATATTTTCTTATTTTTCTATCTCATTAAAAATCCTCGTATAGGGGCAGACTAATAAATCGCATTCTTTTTATATGTATGACTCTTTCTTTCCTAAATTCATTAATCAATATAAACCTTTAGTCTTAACAAATTATGATCTAAATTGCTAATAATCCTTCTGCACTATGCGCATTAAAATAAATCTATTGCACATTCAAGAAGGTGTAGCAATCAAATGGATTATTTTATTTTACAAACCACCGTACTGATTTATTTAGCAAGTAAGTAAAAATTAGTAATAACTAGACGTCGGAGTTTTACGAATATTTTTTTAGAAAGCAGATTGGAAAATAAGATCAAACTAAAAATTTGTTTTATCGAAAAAGCATTCTAAAAATATATACATATTTATTTGAACATATTGTGCATATTCTGTATATCTTTGCACGCTTTCATATATTTTATGTATATTAAACGAGTTTATGAATTTTGTATTATTAAGTTAATGCTTCCTTGTTATTTGGTATTTGACACATTTTCCGTAGAAATATTTATACAATATAACTGGAATTTCTAAGACTCAAGACGTGAGATTAAAGGTTGAAATGTAAAGCAAAATATGTAAATATTTATATATCTTGGAATATATGAAATCATTCGGTCTCTTGTAGAGACACTGGAAATATATTTTCCAAACAGAAGTCAGTATGTTGTCAGCTATTGGTTGTTCGTGAAGTGTCGACAGGAGTAGTCGTAACAGTGAGTAACTTAAGAAATATTGCAAGGTAAGCAAAATGGGAAGAAGCAAGAAGAAAAGATGTATTTTAATTAATGATTGGAGATCAATAGATGAAAAGTGTTTTGTTTCTGATGGAGAAACTGTATTATTATTACCAATAATAACGGGCATTAGTCGCGTGTGTAAAATTCCTAGAGACGAGATTCGATTCGTCGCAAGCATTTCAAAACTAACCCTGCAGAGTTATCTTGCCACGTAGTGGGCAAAATATGATTCGCTCAAATCGAAAGGAAATTGCGAAGGAGTTAATCGCAAATTTTGACCACTTTCCGCAATTGACAGTTTTCAGTGAAGACGATTTTAAGGCTTCTGTTAAGGCAGATGCGCCTTTTCCGGCATTCAGACTATTTCCGTCCCATTCAAGATTTCTTCCAATGGAAAACTACTCGCGCGATTTTCCCGAATATTGCTTATAATTTGGACAATAGCATTAAAAAGGCGGATATTTCGTGGCGTCGATCATCATAGATCTGTATTATATATATAGCTAAGACTATCTATCTAATACTATCTCATTGCCTTAATTAGATACACGAACGATACGCTTGTTAGTTCATTAACTTCCTAATATTTCATTTTTGAAAAAGTAATCTACAAATGACCATTTTTTAAATCATTTAACACCTAATTTTTACATGTCATTAATTCTTCGAGAAAATATTCGATGCTTTAGTGTTTACATTAATTAATGACCGTGTGTTCAATAGAATGCATATCCTCTTTTCGAACCCACGCACGAGAAAATCGACAAGTGCAGTTGGTTAACGAGAAGCTGATGGAAAAGTCTTCGAAGGCGAACGCGGTAGAGTGTCAACGCAATACGGAACTCGATTGTTCATCTTCGTGAAAGGCCATTCCGTTTGGATTCATCGACTTCTCGTAATTTCTATTTATCCACTTTGATCCCTGGCGAGAATAGAACGCGACGAAAACTAACACGATGCGAGACGCAACGTGAAATTTTATATCATGCGTCGTTTTTAAATCTCTCACTGTCAATGTTGTAGAACATCGGAGGAAGGATAAAATTTGAGGATGGGAGGTGGAGACTGGAGCGGTTGGTTGCAACGATGCCGGCAATCCCGGAGGCTCGTTCTCGTCATCGTCGCCATCGCACTGCTGCTGGATAACATGCTGCTGACGACCGTAGGTGAGTGGCTTTACATTACTATAAATATTTCTGTTTATTATACCGTATACGGCATTAATTAATTTCGACCCCTCGTGTTAGCAGTTTTGACATATTGATCGTCGCTTAATTAGGCGTGTCAATCTTTTTACGCACAGCCAGATATATGTGCAATATTTGCATCGATTAATTACTTTTGGCAACTACATTAAACTTTTATCAATTTTAACGCATTATAGAAAATTTAGGCTAATCTCGTTCCTTCTGGCAGTTTCCATTTTCAGGTTTTAGAGTTGCCTCTTTAAGCCATAACTTTAAGTTCTAGTAGGTCAAGTATTCAGAATCGTTAACTTCATTACCTTTTTCTCAACCATGGTCTCTCACGTGGTTCGTTATAAGATTGACGGACTTTAAAGAAGATTAAATCACGATATTCTACTGGAAAGATATTCTACTCCAAATAATGTCACTGTACAAAGTACAAAAAAGATATTCTATTGGAGATATTACATAATAATACCGTAAATGAATTGTTCAAGCAAATGTGTAAGTATACAGAATACTCAGTTCACGAAATAAAAGTGGAATTAGTTCAATCTCTTCAGGACAACTGGCACTGTGTATGTCTTTCGTTTTTTTTAATTATATTCTTAACAAAAAGAGACGGTCGACATTCATCACTAGAGGTGTGACATTTTGATGTTATCTTTATACGCAAAATATCGCAAAATGCCCCAGGAACGTTTTTAATATCATTTCTTTACATTTTGGAGACTCCAACTAACACAAGATGACCCTCAACACGCAAAATAATGCAAAATGATCCTCAACACGCAAAATAGCGTCCAAATAACGTTAATGTTGTATCCTAAACCAAAGAGATTTATACCTAAGACTAGTTTTTGTTTATTTTTTGTAGACATGTTACTGCTTTTATGGCCTGAAAATAATAAGTAATTTCAGTAATTTGTTCCATGCTATTTTAATATGCTATGTCTTATGTTACATTTTTTAAACATATGTTTAGCTTTAATAAATGTCGTAAATTGTTCTATCAAAACATTAAGGCCCGGTTTCACCAACGTTGTTTAGCTCTAAGCTTATTGTTAGCTTAATTCGTTCTTATTGAAGCCTTGCCCACCTCTGACCACGGCATTATCAAAAACATTATCAAAATAATGCAAAATCCGGAAAAACAAAACGCAAATCATGCCAAAACTAACATCAAAATGCCACACCTCTATTCATAAAACTTCATTTTTTTATTTTCTATTATACCGACAGATATAAATTTAATTTAATTGACTCAAAATTTAAATCACCTTTTCCTAACTTGAAAAATTTGACCCTAAAGAGATTAATGTATGTTATTGCGCGATTATTGCTCAGCTTTTCTAATTTTTAATATCTCTTACTATTCCCTCTTCGAATCCTATCGGCGGCCACCGCTCTTCGCAAACTTATGTTTAATTCAGAAAACGTTCGTTTATCGCGTTGGACCGGAATGTCGAAAGAACGTATGGACTTTTGTGTATCGCGCCGCCAATCCGGATAAGTGGTCATGCATTTATGCAGCGCGATCGTCCCGTAACAAATACACGACCTATGAACGTCGTCACGCTTGTCGAACAAATCGCGAAATCCACTTTCAATTGTCGTAAAAAAATTGTTCTCGTCAATTATATGTTCATGCGCATACATGTTTTAATTGCAATAACGAATAAACTAGAGCTCTTTTACTTATAATAAATAGAATTTTACAAAATCCTATTTTAATCAATTTATATTTTTAAAACTTTTTGCTAAACAAGTTACAACTAAATTTTCGATACTTTAAAAGTAATCAAAATTCAGACTGTGTGATAATAAGTTTAAAAAAAACTATTCGAAACGAGTTGTAACGAAAAAAAAGGTGGTTGGAGGTGCTGGGATTTGAACCCAGGACTTTCAGCATGCGAAGCAGACACTCTACCACTGAGTTACACCCCCGATTGATAACAAGTCTCTTCAAAGTGTTCTAGAACGTGAACTGCTCTGTCTTTGCTTCTTTTTTTTACGAACTGATATCGTGCAAGATGGAGAGATAAATATGTATTTTCATTTATTGTTCAATTTTAGTAAATCCTCAAATATTGCGACTCGGTCATGTAGAATTCTAGTAAGATAGTACATACTACATGTATATATTACCATAGATTTCCTAGCTTATCGATTTTCCGGTGTGCTCTCATTTTGCATAAATATTTCAAAAGCATTGCGCCGTATGAATTTTTCGCAGTTCCAATAATACCGGAATTTCTCTACGATATCAAACATCCCAACGCAACATTAAGCGAGCACCTGGAAGGAAGCGCATCTCATCAAACTACGGTCGTCACCACCACATCGCCACCAGCAACAACAACACCAAAATGCAGTTGTGCTACAAACATATCGGTCGCGTCTCCATTGGAATTTTTACACGTTACAACACCTTCTATGAATCTATCGGGTAAATCGCGCTTTGTCGCATCATTTCTTATTGCAAACGGATAAATGACAAAATAATGCTTTGATAATGGCATTATCATTGCAAAAGTTATTAATAAAGACTTCTATATTCTATTCTCGTGAAAGGTTCATTTAAAAAATTTTTCGTTGTAGAGATTTAAAAAAAATAAGACAATTTATGAAAAAGATTAACCTCCTCGGAGACTTAAAAATTGAAAAAGTGATTTACTTTTTAATTAAATTATAATTTATCCATTTTTAATCCATAGCAATTAAATAAAACAGAAAGGAATGGAAAGAATTAGAAATACTATTTGGTGAAAATTAAAAATATTACAACTTATGTAGGTCTTCCCTTATCAGCAATATTAAAATTTTCTCTTTTAATTAAATTATGTAGTAATATTCCCAAGAAGTTAAGATCACATGTTAAAAGATGTAGAAAATAATAACATATTTTAAAAAGAAACGGAAACACTCTTGCAATAGAAACGAAGGCGAGGAGGATAAGGACTTTTCTATTCAGCTACAAAATCTTTCGACACGCTTAATAGAACGAACGCTTTGCTGACTTTTTTCTATTTTAGAAATTACCGCAGCCAATCTCACGTCGGCGGACGCGAAGGAAAAGGAGCAGAGACATCGGGAATTACTGGAAGAGACCGTAGCAGTAGGAATGATGTTCGCCTCCAAAGCTTTTGTTCAATTGTTGGCTAACCCTATAGTTGGGCCATTGACCCATAAGTAAGCGTTGCCCAAAATTCGACTATCTTTTGTTTGAAACTTATTAGATTGAAGCGAGAAAGGTTTCGTTGCATCAAATCGAGGACAAAACGCAAAGGCAATTTTGTCTATCGAGATGGCTACTATTAATTTCAAGTGTTTTTCCTAGAAAGAAATTTTCCGATCTCTTTTCAAAATTCTCTCTCTCTTTCTTCCCCTTCTAATAAATCAATAACTTTAGTTAAAATAGAATTAAATTAGAAAATGAAACCTTTCTCCCGAATCTAATATTAATAAAACACCGATGTAATCAATGAAAAGAATTATCGAAAAACGTAGTTCACTCAATTTTTACATGCGTACTTTCTTTTTAGGATCGGATACAGCATACCTATGTTTACTGGTTTCATTATCATGTTCCTATCCACGCTGATTTTTGCTTTTGGACGAAGCTACGGTATACTTTTCCTAGCGCGAGCTCTTCAGGGTATCGGTTCATCGTGCTCTAGTGTTTCTGGTAAAAGCTTGTCTCTATTAGCCCGTATTAACTTGGTGTTCACAAGTGGATATCTTATTAAATAACACGAGAAAGTTTTCACACTCGTCAAGGCTATTTCTCCTGATTCTACGTGAGCATCGGTGGTTCAGTGGTAGAATGCTCGCCTGCCACGCGGGCGGCCCGGGTTCGATTCCCGGCCGATGCAAGAAGGTATATTTTGCTCTGGTATCTCTTAATTTGACAAAATTTTTTTTAATCACACCAAATAATTTTTAACTTTACGATCTTTTTTTAGCTCAAGCATCAAAATTTTGTTGTGCCAAAAAATTAATCGGAGAACAATATCTACTAAAGATCGAAGTTGTAACGATACCCTGGTAGAAATGTTATGTATTTTTATGAGCAGTTACTAGACAGTTGTATTAAATTTTGTCTAGTGACTGAGAAATAAAACTACTTGGAATCCCAATCAAGATGTAACGCTTTTCTTACAATTACTGCACATAAAAGACGCGCAAAATCTGAACCCAATTATTGAACAAGAACAAAACAATAAGTATCTTAATAAATAATAATCTATTAATACTAGACAATGACTGGGCAAATGTCTAAGCATAAACTGCATATATTTTACCAGGAAAACTGCTTCAGCACTGACAAATAAAACTCTATCAAGTTCTTGTCCATTCTCTATGCAGTATTGTTAGAACTAATGAGAGCCCAGTAACACTAGACAGTAACTGGAAGGGCGTGCTAGAGAAATTGTACACATTTCTACCAGGGCGATGCGTCTGAATTAAATATATATTACGTGAATAATTAATAAAACAAAATAAAAAAAAATTGCATCGGCCGGGAATCGAACCCGGGCCGCCCGCGTGGCAGGCGAGCATTCTACCACTGAACCACCGATGCTGTTGCGACGTAGGCGCTCTCTTACCGATGACATAGCACGTGATTGTAATACTTAATCATATACGATTCTCCGGTAGGTATGGGTATGTTGGCGGAGAGATATCAAGACGACAAAGAACGCGGTAACGCGATGGGTATCGCGCTGGGCGGACTGGCCCTTGGCGTCCTTATCGGCCCTCCATTCGGCGGAGTGATGTACGAATTTGTAGGGAAATCCGCCCCGTTTTTAGTCCTTTCCGCGTTAGCCCTTGGCGATGGACGTGAGTACAAATACGTTTGCAATGGGAAACACTTGTCACGCGTAATTGACAAATTATTATTTGTAACTATTAATAAATATTAATTACTAATCGATTTATATTTTGATCTAGAAGGATTTTCTAGACACGCGTGGTATTTTTCTCAGCGTCGTGTATCTTAAATTCGCTTGTATATTGTCGCGTTAAAAAGTGAAAATTCCGCCTAATTCAATGCCCAAGTTTCATGATAATATCTAAAATCTTTTGGAAAACTCTCAAGTATTGCAGCTCTTGATGCTTCAACCGTCGGTCGTGTACACAGAAGCGGAACCGCCGTCGTTGAAGTCCCTTGTCACCGATCCCTACATCATTTTAGCAGCTGGTAGGAGAACGATAATACATCCGGTCAAATATAAAATACGACGTTTCACGTTTCAAGCAAGAGGTGTAGAAGGGTTATCGATGTTCCAGGCGCGATAACGTTCGCAAATATGGGAATCGCTATGCTGGAACCGAGCCTACCTATCTGGATGATGGATACGATGGGCGCGAGCCGCTGGAAACAGGGGGCCACGTTTTTACCAGCGAGCATCAGTTATTTGATCGGGACGAATCTCTTCGGACCACTCGGGCACAAAATGGGCAGGTCAGTCCGGCCGGGTATCTCGCGTCAAACACGAGAACTATTCTAATAATGACGAAATCGCCAAATTTCGAGCCGAATGTCGCCCGAATAGATCAGTCTTTTAATCTGACCTTTAATCCGAGGGTTCGAATCCCTGTTCGGGCGAAGATATCTTTTTGTCAACCAGCCCGACGTTTCTATCACGTTTTTTATACCCTTGTTACAGATGGCTAGCTTCCCTGATAGGCCTCGTCGTTATTGGTATCTGCTTGATGTGCGTAAGTATCCCTACGACCGAGAGAGCGAAACAACTGTCCGCGAATTTCACGATGATTGATTGAAATTACCGATGGGTAAACTGCTCAGGGCATTGTGGCGTATTTGCGACATTACTGGGTATTACTAGGCATTTCTTGGGCATTAGACCTTACTGGGGCATTATAAAGGTAAAATAAGACGAAATATGAGGAAACAAAACAAAATAGGATAAAATGTGGTAATAAGATAAAGTGATGCCCATTGTGCATTTGTACACGGGGAGAGAATTTTCTTTTAAAATTGACCCTGAAAATCGTGGGACAGCATGGCATTTTGAACATCTTTATAAAAGTTTTTGAAATTTTGCCATACTAGTAAAATGTATACTAAATACACCCACAGAAGAATTTTCCGGATTCAGTGCTATTACACTTCAATGTATCATAAAATAGGATCGATATAGCGCCAATCATATTTATTATGGAGAAAAAATATTTTAATCTTAAATGAAAAATTCTAAAATCTGGAATAAAATGATAGTATGTATCGTCTTTTGTCGAATATCGCGGTACCAACTTCGTGCGTTGTAAGATGGAGGGAAAATTTATTCTAAACGCAAGAATATATAAACTAACATTTATATAAATTGCTCTTGTCTCAATATAGTAAGTAAATCTTTTTCAAATCGATATAGGAGAATACGAATTATTGATTTTATTTTGATATTGTCTTATTTTTATATTGAATGAGATTGCAATTTGACCAGAGTAAAGTCTACACTAATCTCAAGTTTAGTGACTTTTACTCTAATTATTAGAGTCCGTAGTCTTTAAGATATAGACAAAAAATCATAATGCATGCACCCACAGAAAAAATTTCCGGATCCAATGCTATTACACTTCAATGTATCATAAAATAGGATCGATATAGCGCCAATCATATTTAATATAAAGAAAGGAATATTTTAATCTTAAATAAAAAATTCTAAAATCTGGAATAAAACGATAGTATGTATCGTCTTTTGTCGAATATCGCGGTACCAACTTTGTGCGTTGTAAGATGGAGGGAAAATTTATTCTAAACGCAAGAATATATAAACTAACATTTATATAAATTGCTCTTGTCTCAATATAGTAAGTAAATCTTTTTCAAATCGATATAGGAGAATAAGAATTATTGATTTTACTTTGATATTGTCTTATTTTTATACTAAATAGGGCTGTGAGAAATAAAATGCGTCAAGAATATTTTTTGTCTCAGTAACAGAAATCCTTTCTGAGGATGTATAATTACTAGTAAAAAATATGGTAAAATTTAAAAAAAAACTCATAAAATTCTTCAAAACGCCATGTTGTCCCACGATTACATGATTTTCAGGGTAAATTTTAAGAGAAAATTCTCTCCGTGTAGGAATTGGTGTACATGATTCTAGCGGTTTACCCCACGGAAATTACATATGAATCGTAATGCAACGTTTACATTTGTAAGACATTCAAATTGAAGGAGCCGCGCGAATGAGTTAATTGGATCTCGCGCGATTAGAGATAATCTTACTTATTGTTAATTTGTTTCGCAGATCCCGCTAGCGAAAAGCATCGATCACTTGATCGTGCCGAACGCGGGATTGGGATTCGCGATCGGGATGGTGGACAGTTCGATGATGCCCGAGCTAGGATATCTAGTTGACATAAGACACAGCGCTGTTTACGGGAGCGTTTACGCTATCGGCGACGTGGCGTTCTGCCTCGGCTTTGCTATAGGTACGTGCACGCGACTGATTTTACTTGAACAAACGCACGCTAACGACAAAGTTAGCGAAGGTTACGAAAGGCCCGATAAAAATTGAGATAAGACCCCTTTTGATATCAACGCGAATTACCGAGCATGCAAAATTGTTGCAAACTTTTGTAGTATTATATTTTCTTTCTTTTCACTTTTTAACTTATTATTCGAACAATCGAATCAGTAGCTAAGACCAGATATATTTCATGTGTAGAATGTTTTAATAAAAATAATTGAGATAAAATTCTCTCATATTTTTTACATATCGCGTAATATAAGAAGACGCTTAAAGATTCAGAGAAACAAATTAACAAATAATTTTAATATAGAACATTATTACATAAAATATACATTTAGCACGTATATAAAAATATACGTCATATTTTAAACAAAATTCTTTCCCGAGAGTTTACGTGAATTACGGTTGCTTAAAATGAGTTTCAAAAATTAACAAAAAATGAAAGTCTGCATCGGCCGGGAATCGAACCCGGGCCGCCCGCGTGGCAGGCGAGCATTCTACCACTGAACCACCGATGCTCTTACGAGATTCTACGATCTATTCGCCTAACAACACCACTAGTATCGTTTAGAGATGTCACACTAATGACACAACGGGATATAACTATGAAATATAACGAGCGGGATATAAACGAGAAAGAAAACCTGCTCTCTAAGTAAGCAATAAAATATTCCTTATTTCCGCAGGTCCAGCGCTGAGCGGGACTCTGGTCAACAGCATTGGCTTCGAATGGATGCTTTTCGGCATAGCTTTGTTAAATTTCATTTACGCACCTCTCATGTATTTCCTAAGGGCGCCGCCGACCAAGGAAGAGAAAAAGGTAAAATTATACTAGACGTCTTTTCTTTTCATTCAATGTGTTTTGAAGAACTCGCTAATTCCAAGTTCAATTGCAGTCGTTAATAATTGGCGAGAAATCGTCCGTGCGTTATGTCACGTACCAAAATGAGGAAGAGGACCAGTGAAACAATAATTCTAAGCATTCTTCGATATTATTTCGGTACAAGCAGTTGTTTTACTTATCGTTAGAGAGGACGCGTATTTTCTTTTCTCCCTAAGATATCGTTAAAAAAAGAATAGAGATTGCCTTTGCGTTGTTACGTGCGATTTTTACGGGTATTCTAATTTCCGCAATACTTTCTCAACTGACGAGACAATAATATATTCCTCCTTATTTTCGCGTTTTCCCGTTTAATAGTATCAAAGTATTCGCGGTCTCTTGTTTCCATAAATGATAGGAAGCTACAAACATCGACAATAAGCACAACTTGTTGACATGCACTTGATAACATTTGGCAAACTACCGTGTAAATGTAAAATTAGTATAACCGAGTAAAGTTTTCCTAATGGGCGCTCGACAATTTTGAAAAGAGAAAGAGAGAGAGAGAGAGAGACGAACGATCCTCCAGTATACAGAAGTCGCACAACATCACACTTGGTATCTATACAAATATTAAATGTCTGAGAACTCGGGAGATCTCGCATTCTCGAGTATTTACGGATAGAAGTAGCCGTGACGAGAGGGCGGACACGTTGTGAAATGTCTTTCTGTGTATTTCTGCATCATCGATATTATCGTTACGCACATATCGTATGTAACAGACGGTAGACTAAAGCCTAAAGCAACGCAAAAGTCGCGGAAAAAAAAACCCAAAAAAAAGCTCGTTATACCGTAGCATGTGATAGCAAGAGATATATATGTTCGTTAGACGTGTTACATGATATATATGAGAAAAGAGCAGGCAGACGATGCAAAAAAGTTACCCTTAGATGTGAAAGGCTTAAATTCGGGATGCATATTGTACACAATGCCCAATTGTAAAGATAAGCGCGTGGGAAAAAAAAATATGGCACGACCCTACTAAGCGCGAATCAGAAGATTCCGGTCGGCCGAGCTAGGACAGCGCGTGTGAACGGAACGGGACAGGATTAAAACAGTGGATATCGCGTGATCGGTACATCGGTGCCTCCGGCGTGTTCTTCGGGGTAGCAAATTGCACAAAGGAATCTCAGTCCTACGTCGAGAAGAACCGCCCGATTTGGTTTCCCTGAATGGCTGCAGGGAAACCGGCGACAGGGACGGTCGGGTGTTTTAAAGGGTTCTTCGTACATTGCGATACGGCCGCGATTAGACCCTGTACCTTCGTCGCGAGAACGAGGCGACATTATCCGCGGAGTGCCCTGGCGCATACGATTTACCGAAACTCGCTGATCTCATCGCCGTTGGTGAAACGAAAGGGGATAAAACGTAAGAGAAAGAGAGAAAGAACGATCGAGCTTGTCGCAAATCCCGGCATCTCTCGGTACGTTCTTCGAGATTAATTTCCGTTTCCCGATTACGACTTTCAACGCATGCACGAAAGAATGTATAGAGAATGTCACGGGATTTGTCGGGGTAGAGAATAGCATTTAAACTTACATAAGAAAAAAATAATGCAGATAGAAAGAGAGAGTGAGTGAGCGAGCGAATGAGCGAGTGAGCGAGAGTGAGTGAGTGAGTGAGTGAGAAAGAGAGAATGAGAGGGAGAATGAGAGAGTGAGAGGGAGAGGAAGAGAGTAGAACAGAATAGAGTAGAGACGAGGTGCGAAGCGTTCGCGGGATTTGCGAATTACATGATAAACTTTATGAGGATTCGCCGCGGGAAGCTCTAGCTGCGACGATTTATTTGCTCCACGGTCCGGGTAGACGGTAATCCTCGTGGTCTGCCGACTGGGCCCCGCGAAAATAGAAAACACGTTCGTAGAAGCAATATAGAAAGTAGCGTAGCGATGTTATCCGTACGTGAAACGACGTATATCTATACATATACACGAAATCTGTACGTGTCACTCTATATATACGTGGTGTATAATCTCTCTGTGTAAACGTATGTTAACTTAAAAAGAAATTGTCGTGTATTTATTACGCATCGACGTCTCGCCGCTAATTCGTGTACGACGTGTATGAGAAAAGTGTATACCTGTTGAGATCCTAAGCTACTAGACCCGAGCACTACCTGCCGAGGCAGTGATGCAGTTCTCGATATAGCCACAAAATAAAAATACAAAGTGAAAAGATGTGATTAGGACATTAGTGCGCGTTTTTGCTTATTGCCCGGAGTCGTTATCACCTCTAATCGCGAGCGCGTTGCTTAGCGAGCTTTACGCCGCAAATACTATAGGAATCTAGGCATATATTATAGTTAACTGGAACTTTAGAGTCCTCATTAACGCCGTGACGGCACGGTTTCTTCGTCGGTGTCACGCGCCGAATCTTGTTCGTGTAGTTGAATGAGGACGAGTAAGCGGGGCCCGTGAGAAACGCACATCCGAGACGAACGAACGCAACGCGATTACTACGGTATTAGACTACAGCTTTCCACCGCGGATTCCGAAACACACAAGGTGCGTGAGATTTTGCGCGCCTACTCCCGGTACGAAACGCGAGTCAATTCGATTCGTGAATTCTTTGCCAACGCTCGCCTCGTCGACGTATATATAGTTAAAAATGTCTATGAAATCTATACGAGAGGAAAGGCCGCGCAGCAAGCTGCAGGAGATGAGTGAAAAACGAAGAAATGTAGAAATAATGTAAAGAAAAAAAAGGTACGCGAGACGCGGAAATGTGACGATTTTTCGAGCCGCGGGAATTCAGAATTAAATCTAAAGCTTTCTCCTTGGCTTCCGATTAGTTGTATTCTGATTACTGTCATCCGGATTATAATAAAACTTTCGAGTCCCGCCATGTACTTTGGCGCGACCGTTGTTATTACTGTCCTCGCTTTAATAATAATAGTAATAATGAGCAATAGCATCCTCTATTATCGCGACTCGATGTTATTACGTGATCTCGAGCTACTGTACTATATCGCATAACTATATCGCACAATATATTTGATCTATCTTTCCCTTAAATGTAAATATAGCGAAAGTAATTAACGTTGAACGTTGTCGCCGCTGAGATACCTTGAAGGATGTTGTAACGCCGATTTCCTGTAATTTCGGTGGACCCTGATTTTCGATTAACTCTCGTTCGCGATATCTCTGTGTGTATACGTTATGTACGCACGCGCGCGTGTGTGTGTGTGTGTGTGTGAGAGAGAGAGAGAGAGAAAGAAAGAAAGAGAGGGATGTATTCAATTATTATTATTTAAATTAAATTTTAGCACTGTAGGCACGAGAAAATTATTTATCCACTTGTGCGTGGCATAAAAAATATCAAATAACCAACGAGCATTGTTTAAAATGACGAGGCGGAATGTGAGTGTCGGGTTCTACCAGAAAGTCACTGAAGTCTACTCTGCGTTTCTTTACCCAAATTGGGACGTGCAAAATATAAATCTATATGTTCGTTATTACGATCGTAACCGTACGCCGTTAATCTCTTGCGTCGGAATCCAGTGGATAATTGTACATATTTAAACTGCAAGTGTTGATTTGTAACCAGTGCAACGATGAACATTCGCTGAGACAGATATAACGATTACACTATCGCGAAGCTTTCGACTTGGATATGCATCGACAATTCGGTGAATTTGATAATGACATTAAATCGCGAATGTGGTGCAAACGATATTTCCATGGACTACGTTCACGGATATTCCTAATTCG